ACTCAATGTAGTGTCCTAGTAGTGTCCAATATAGTATCCAAATGTAGTTGTGCTATCATATGAGAATTCTTAGGAGGAGGAAAGTGATGATACAAATACAAATATATATATATATATATATATATATGTATGTATGTATATATTTCCCCATATGGTAGCACAAAGTGCACGTATCTTAAATCTTAGTTCTCGTATGAAAAGGTGCACATAAATACCGAGGCAAATAAGCAGAGATACTATTCCTATATTGAATACAACTCGTCTGATAGGTTTCGGATATTGCAAGTTTCACAGTACATTTTCCAATGCCCTACAAATTCAACAGAATGGAAATAGAATGTATGCAGTGCAATACCATCGTGCATACATATTTTAAGCTGAATAAGCTCAGCACATGCGTCAATTGCATCAGTGTTCATAATATATATATATATATATATATATATATATATATATATATATATATTTAAACTGGCTGCAGCGATTGTACCGACTGTGAGAAAACGTGCGAAATATCCTTGCCGAAGGAATTTGAAAAACGCTCCAAAGGTAAATAATATGAGAACTGTTGCGAGGGAGTACGTGCCGAGTTCCTGGAAAATTCGAAAAAAGTCGAAAAAACGAGGAAGAAACAGTAACGTGAACGATTAGTCTGGCACAACATTGATCAAAGATTTGATTTCATACTTAAAAATGCTAGAAATTGAAATTATTTAAATTTTGGTGGACTATCATCAGTGGCGGCGCTAGACCATTCGTGGGCGTCGGCGAAATTCGTTTGCGAGGCCCCTCTTTTTTGCCAGTTGCAAGTTGACTAGTGGTACATGGCATCATGCCTAAAGGCAAATTGCTGAAACTTTTCGTGCCGTAATTTAATTTAAGATAAAATATATACACCAATAAATAGTATAAGATAAATACACCAATTGAAATAGACAAAAATTACACAAGTTAAAATAAACAAACTCTTCGGCAAAAATGGTTAGTTCTCCAGCTATTAAAAAAGCACTAAAATTAAATATTTATCGCAAAAAAGTTTCCTTTGCCCAACCATTTGATTCGTAAATTTTATGTTTTCTCGATCATTATGAATAAAAAATGGTTGGAAATCACCGACTTAATAACTAATTAGACAAAATTTTGCAATCTGCAAGTGATTAATTAGATTTAAAAAATCTATGTTCATACTAATTTGAGTGCACAAATCCGTACATCACATAGTAGGTACACATGGTCTAAAAGCTCGTCCCATTATTCTAAAAGTTAATGAGTTTTTATAATTAATCATTTATCGTAGTTCCATAAAATTTATGTTAGATGATACTAACAAGTTTTTGAAAAAAGATTTTTACAATAAATTACGAAGAAACTGTGCGGTCGATCTTGTCGCAACAATTCAGGACGATCGCCAACTGAAAACTTTCGATTAGTTTTTGAATTTTTAAAATTGGTTCAAAAATGTCAAAATGTCGTTTTTTTAAGACGCTTTAATTTTTTGTCGACGACATCAGAGCCGATCAACCGATTTAAAACATTTAAAAAACATTCGATTTGTGTTGATAAATTGTCAAAGGCAGGTTTAGCGGTTTTGGAGATACAAAAAATGTTTAAAAGGTTATGAATTTTATTTGAAAGAATTGATCATCCCAATAGAATGTTTAAAAAAATATGTTGCTTGTGTTGACGGTGTGAAACAATGATTAGTTTCAAATTAACAGTTTTTGCTATTATCTCATTGTTATTTCTCACTGATAAATTTTTATTGAACATTGATTACTTTTATTCCTCGAATATTTAATTACTGTTTCGATGATTTACATAGTGCTCACATAAGAAATACACAAATATAAACAACCAGAGAATTAGCTTGCGCAAAGTTGTTTAGATTTAATAATCTATAGTGTTGACAGACGATATTAGATAATGTCCATAAAAGATAAAAGAGTAAAATGATAGTGCCTGTAAACCACTAATCACCTTTTTTACTCGCACATCCGTATGAAAATTAACTAAATTTTAAATAATTAAAATTTTTCCGGGGCCTCTTGCGAGGCCCCCCCAGGCGCGAGGCCGTCGGCGGCCGCCGACACCGCCGACGCCTCGCGCCGCTACTGACTATCATATACATCTACAATTAGGTGCAGAACTATCTGTTGCTCTATTCTCAACTCTATGAAAATTTCATGTTTTTTGTCAATAGAAATTTTTGTTTAAAATAGCAATGTTGATGAAACACTATCAATTTTCCGAATAAATCCAATTTCTTAAATATTTACACAATTTCTTAAATATTTACAAAATTTTCACCTGACTTTGAATTCATCATTCACGTTGCTTCTTTGTTTTACTGCTTTTTACTATTTTGTACCAAAACATTATCTATTAGGTTTAATTTTATCGAATCAAATAACATTAGTCTCAAATTAAATTATCATGTTTTATTCACGTTATTATATTCTATTAAAAAAAAAATAATTTTTATAAGTATTTCAACTTCCCCATAGTTCAGGTTTTAAAACTCGGTGAATGAAAACAGAAGCAAGAATTAAATCTGTATGCACAGATTTTCATTAATTAATGCTAATTATAAACATGAAAGAGCTTTTATTCTTTACTTAATATTTGTCTTTCGTTATATTGTTGCCTTTCTTTTTGGTTATGAGCTCAAGTTAAATCCTACCTGGCAAATGTATAATTAAGTATTTTAAAGGAGAAACTGAGCGAAATATATTAAGTGGCTTGCGCTTTTTATGTATTCTGATGTTTTAATTAAATGCACTGTAAATATTCTGAATCCGTTTAATCCTTGATAATATATATATATATATATATATATATATATAATTAAAAATTTACGTATTTTTGAAAAGCATTAGAAATTGCTATATTTTAATAATACATGTTTGTTGCACAACTTAGTTGCTCTAATTTTTTTTAATAATTTGCAACTTGATTATTTTTTTCAACAAAAATATAACGAATTAATAAGATATATATATATATATATATATATATATATATATTTCCCAAATTAAATAGTCTTATACGATTCATTCAATCTTCAATAAATATTTCGCCCGAACAGTCGATACGAATCAATACTGTCGTTCGGTTATTTTTCTTTATGATGAAGGTCTACGAAAAAAAATGTCTAAGATATTAGTTTCTGAAGTCAGATTGTGTAGACTTTAATTTATTTTATGGGTTTTTGAAATAAACAATAACTAGACATAGAAATTGAATTTACTTTTTTATATGTCCATTTATTTTTTTATAAAAATTAGACTAATTTTTTTGTTCTTGATCTATTTGTTATAAAATTCTCAGTAGTGGGAATGTAAGTAAATGTCTTTTCCTATACCAAAGAACTCTTTAAAAAAAAGAACTAATTGTAAGAAAATACACCCAACACCCAAGTATGAGGCTTCAATAAATAATATTATCAATAATATTACCCTTAGTGTAAGAGTTTAAAGCCTTCAGAATTACGCTGAATATTTAAAATATTTTTTATAAATTATATTGCATAGTTTACAAAAATTATTTCCCTAACAATAAGTTGTAGTTCTTTAGTATGCAGTCTTGGCGCATTATAATTTCCTATACTCTGTATTCGAAATGGTCTATCCGATATATAGCTATTCATTTGATTATGTATCATATATTATTATATATCATGTCTTATGCAAAGTTCTTTGTGAATTGAATTTATATGGATATCGATCTTGAATTCCAATGGATGGAACGAAATAAGTATTAACCGCCGAAGGAATGCGAATATAAAAATGCCTCAATATGCCATCTATCATATCGTACTCAACTATCGATTAAGGAATCGCTTCGGAATATATATTAAGAATCCTTATTTTGACGAACTACTTCAAGTATACTATATTATTGTATACATCAATCGATGTAATCTAAAATTTTGCTCGTGGGAAAATTGTAGCCCTAATTAATGATTTTATTGCAAGTAGTTCTAAGTCAGGTAATAAATAAGACAAAGATACGATACGAAGAAAGCATGTTTGTTGTAGTTTCTTGTATTGGAAACATGGGTGCTGTAAACCCATGCTCATGATGGCAAAGACGTTCCAATAATTCAAGTTTTGCCCAATTATTGAAAATTAATGGCTGTTCAAAGCGTTACATATATATTTTTTTTTCTTCTTTGTATGGATCTTATTATTTCCGACATAATTAGAATATACGCATAGTCTTTTATCACGTTGTTCATTTATAATGATTTCTTTGGAAGTTCCGTCGTTCCTGGTTGAAAATGTTACGCCGGAGTCATTGTATGTATAATATTTTCACCATGACCATATTTCATCTTCGCCCATTTCTTTACAACGAAACAAAAAAGCGTTATTACGTAAAAAGCACACAAATTATCAAATGGTACCCGGAAAACAAGTCCGACACAAAATCACAAATGAAATCTAACGGCGCGCCTGAGCCGCATATCGCATTCGTAACGAGCTCGCGCTCCTATGGTGATGGATACAGAACATCGAGGGAAAAATTCGAATAAAATGAAAAAAATATTGATATTAATAACATTACTAATAGTAAACAATATGTTCATTTAGTATATATTCAAATTTTTAATATACGCTATTAATTTTCATTTTATTCCGCCTACTGCAGTAAATTGGAATCCAATTTGTACAATTTTCGTATTCTTCTAAAAACCCTTCTTTGGAAAATTTTTGCAAAATATTCCTGAAAAATCAATTTTATACATTTTACAAAATTGATAAAAAGTATTTGAAATAATAGTGTTATTATTTTATATATTTTTTTATTTATTTATATTATTTATATTACATCCTTATTAATTTATTAGGAGTCAACATACCCCAGTAAGTGTGAAATATTAATACAAAATTTTATCATTATCAGTTCCAAACACTAGTTTGGATAACTTACAAGTTTCGAGTTAACAATTTAATAAAAAACAGTATAAAAATAGTAGAGAGCTTAAAACTAATCAGTTAGGCCACGAACAAGTTCATTCTAAAATCTTGTGAGTTGTGGACATTCTCCTTCGCTCAAGATTTGCAGAGCTGAGACAAAAATTTTATTATATTATTGAATTGATTATAAAGGTTTTTTGTTAATTTATATATCAAAGACAGTTTTTACCTTTATGTTGTTTGCAGTTGTAAACGCGCAAATCGCATTCGTTGGCAAAAGTCCTGACTTCACCGTTGGCTGCTGCGCAAACTGGCCTGTAGTCCAAAGTGCACATGGTTGGACAGTTTTCTTTACTTCTTACAATTTTGGGACATTCGCCATCACTGATTTTCTGAAGAGCTAAATTAATATCATATCTAATTAGTAAAGAATTCAACTTTTTTGTTGCACACTTAAATGATTCAACTCACATTTATTATTTACACAATTGTAACTCTGCAAAACGCATTCATTGCCGAAAGTTTTTACTTCCCCGTTGACTCCGGCACAGACTGGTCTGTATTCCTTGGTGCATTTCAAGTTGCAGTTCTTTCCGTTTCTGGTAATTTGGGGACATTCACCTTCACTGATTTTTTTGAGTGCTGAAGTCGAGCAACTATTATTTAGTACAATAATAAAATGAGCAAAAGTATTACACGACTTATACTTACATTTTCTTTGCTGGCAGTTGTAGTTTCTTAAGGCGCATTCGTTGGCAAAAGTTCTTATTTCTCCATCGGCTGCTGCACAAACTGGTCTGTATTCAAGTGTGCAGAATGATTGACAACTGTTCTCACTTCTTACAATTTCTGGACATTTTCCATCACTGATCTTCTTTAGAACTGAATGAAAAGCAAATTTGATTAGTAAAAGGTTATGCCTTGATATATAATTTTTTTGTTGCATATATCAAATGATTCAACTCACATTTATTATTCACACAATTGTAACTTTGCAAAATGCATTCATTGCTGAAAGTTTTCAATTCACCATTAACTCCAGCACAAACTGGCTTGTATTCCTTGGTACATTTCAAGTTGCAGTTCTTTTCGCTTCTGGTAATTTGAGGGCATTCACCATCGCTTACTTTCTTAAGGGCTAGTCAAACAAATACTATTTAGTACATGAAATTTTATTTAGAGAATTACACTATATACTTACATTTTCTTTGCTGGCAATTGTAGCTCCTTAAAACGCATTCGTTGGCAAAAGTTCTTATTTCACCATTAAATGCAGCGGCGCAAACTGGTTTGTATTCGAGTGTGCAGAATAATTGACAATTTTCTTTAGTTCTTAAAATTTTGGGGCAAACGCCTTCACTGACTTTCTGAAGGGCTAGAAGTACCATGCGTGGTTATATAATTTTTAGAAGTTTATAATAGCCTAATTAATTTTGTGTATACTTACACAAGTGATGTTCACAGTTATAGTTTTGTAAGATACATTCGTTGTCGAAGGTCCTGAATTCTCCGTTCATTCCTGCACAGACTGGACTGTAGATTTTAGGGCAGTATCCTTTGCATGCCTTGTCGCTTCTGGTGATTTGTGGACACTCCCCATCGCTAATCTTTTTGAGAGCTAAAATGAAATAACTGAATGATATTACAGTTTACCAATTAAAGCGTTACTCAGAAGTAAATTTTTTAATTACATTTGCGTTGTTGGCAGTTGTAATTTCGCAAATCGCATTCATTGGCAAATGTTCTTAGTTCTCCACTTTCTCCAGCACAAACTGGCCTGTAATCAAATGTGCAGAATGATAAGCATTTTTGTTCAGATTTCCTTTTAATTTCTGGACAAACTCCTGAGCTGACAACTTTGAATGCTAAAATTTTAAGGTTTTATATAGTTGTAAGAAAAAATTATATATCACAAACAATATGATGACAAGTTGAACATACATTGACGTTTTTGGCAATTGAAGGTACGGAGGACGCATTCATTTGCAAAAGTTCTGAATTCTCCATTTTGTTGGGTACATACGGGATTAAACTCCAAAGTGCAGAAGGAGTTGCAATCATTTTCAGCTTCTCTTGTTATTTTAGGGCATTCACCATCACTGACCTTCTTGAGAGCTGAATAAAAATAGAGCCATTTAAATAAGGTGCACATTAATTACTTGATTAGTATGTATTTGTAGTATGCTCACATTTGCGCTCTTGACAGTTGTAGTTTTTGAGAATACATTCATTTGCAAATGTTTTGATTTCACCATCGGCTGCTGCACATACAGGTCTGTAGTCAAATGTACAGAATGAAGTGCATTTTTCCGTCTCCCTTGTCATTTGTGGACATTTACCATCACTAAGTTTCTTCAGAGCTAAAACATGCAATTATTTATAAAATGCTATTCTGCATATTATTTTTGGCCAACTTACATTTCTTTTGGTGGCAGTTAAAGTTTCTCATTTCGCATTCATTGGAGAAAGTAATCAGACGTTCTCCTGGTGCAGTGGCACAAACTGGTCTATAGTCGTCCGTGCAGATTCCTGGACAAGCCAGATCCTCGGCAAACGATGCGGCAAAAGCCAAACACACTAAAGTAATAAATTTATGGTTACAACAAATTAGTGATAAACAAAATTAATTGCTACTTACATACTGCTGCAATGCGTAAAAACGCCATTGTTTTGATTTTATAATATTTTCAACTTTTGGTAATAACTGGGATAGCTCTGACAATCAGAATGATTCAGTTCCAATCAGAAACTGATATTTATACAACTAACTTGTTGACAACCTGGTCATAATCAGAAAGATAACTTCCGATAACAAATGAGCTGTTACCAAAAGTGTAAAAAATTACATCATGTAGTACACAAATTTCTCTCAGATAGCTTAATAAAATTGATATCTAAGATGTTATCACACTGTTTACTCATTGATTGATTCTCATTAAATTTTATATAGTAAATAATTATGTGCTTAATTGCTTTAATATCAATCTATCACCTGTGATAATAATTGTTTATCATTCATAGTTTTTGGTTGTCAAGGGAATTATTTAGCAGACACTTGTTTTGTTGATGTCCGCAAAATATATTAAACATAATAATTGAACCAACAACTTAGTTGCATTATATTTATAACGAATTTATTAAATTATTTAATGGAAAATACGAAAATTTATGTTATCCTCAAAAATTATATTAAATTAACATTCAATATATAGCCAAATATTGTAAAACAACGGATTTAAATTATTCATATTTCCAGACTTAAAATATAATTTACATAAATTTGCAGTATATAGAATTTTGTATACATTTCTTAGACGTGTGTATTTTTTGTAAAAAAGAATTGTAATATGCCAAAATCTTAAGTCGAAAAATGTTGAATTGAAGTCATAGGTGAACAAGATAACATAATTTTGTTACGCGGATAAAAATATATCTATATAAAAAAAGGTTTAACTTTCTGGTTATCTTATATTAACTGAAGGTATTTGAGTCCAAAAAGTTAAGGTTTCTGAAAATTAGTTGTTTTCCACAAATAATTAAGTCACTTGAACCCTAGACTTTGCAATTCAAGTACATGTTGTCGCAAACATAAATTAAATTACAACAATTGTTGTAAACAAATTAGCACGTTAGATAATTGTTATGTCTGTATTGTATAATAAATAAGACTATTTACTTCAATTATCTTTTACCTGATTTGATAATTATGCGATAATTAATTAGAAGATCGTAAGCATGATTTTTGAAGTAGAAATCAGTGCTGATTAACTATGGAAAATATTTCGAAGAACTTTGTTACGAATATCTTTGGGCCATTGATTGATAATAATTGAATAAAACGATTTGTTTTCCGGTTACCTAGAGCAGATAAACGAGTTATTAAAAAAGATAAAATCATAGAATTAAAACATATCACAGTTCATTTTCAAAATAGTTTTATTGCAGTAACATTTACAATATATAATATTCTTAAAGATACATGATTTTTTTATTTAAACAATTTTGCATTCAATTGTTATTATTATAATTAAATATGGCTGTATCACTAATAGTTTTTTGTGATTCTGTATATAAAATAACTGGTGCCTACACACTTTTCAAATTTGTTGCTTCTTTAAAAAAATTAATTTACAATTAGTTTAACTTACGAAGATTTATTACTTATGACCATACTTTACTTTGATAATCGCTATCATATGTTTATATTATTTATCTAAATAACCACTTGAAATTGCATTGCATTTTCAGTTCCTCAATTATTACACTACTTAATAATGATAATAGTTGCAAATGATATTTATTTTTGATGTTTCAGATTTTTAGTATTCAGTATTAAACTGAGTTATTAAATTTAATTTTAAATTATGTTATAGTTCATAACATAATTCAACTTAAGATGCGACTTACGTTTTTTAAATAATTTTATACCAAAAATAAAATTCTTATACTTTTACACTATTTATTGAAAATTAAATATAAGATTTTTCATCCAAAGTTCGAATTTGTTAAAATAAATAAAAATCGAAAGATTAATTCTAAAAGAAATATTTATCACAAACAGGGCCCCGTTAATACTTTTTTAGTTCTAAATAAAATTAAATGGTAAATCTCTAAGAATAACAATCAATTTTTTAAAAGCATAATAAAAAGTGTTCAAATAAGAATAGGTGCCATACAAGTTTTAAATTTTGAGACATTTATATATACTGAAAAATGGTAGTAATACTTAGACATATATATTTATTCAGTATTTAATCAACTAATTTCCAAATTTAGTAAGCTTTGCTCACTTTCGAGTCAAAATATCTGAAATACTCACATTAAAAATATATTAATTATAATTAAACAAATTTTACTTTTGCAATATTTCTTTATTTCACAAAATTGTAAAACATTTTACAATATGACTGATATGTAAGGAGTACAATATATTTATATAATCTCTAAAAGCGTATAATGTTATTTTTTTTTTGAATTGTGCTGCTTAGAGTCTGTTCATCTGGGGACATGCTCCTTCGCTGATGATTCTCAAAGCTGAAAAATGAAATAAGTTTAAGTAAGATGCATAAAATATTAGTAGGCATCTGCTAGATTGATCTTTTATAATTACTTTTGTGTTGTTGGCAGTTGTAACTGCGCAAAGCGCATTCGTTGGCAAAAGTCCTGACTTCGCCGTTGGCTGCTGCGCAAACTGGTCTGTATTCCAAGGTGCACATGGTTGGACAGTTTTCTTTACTTCTTAAAATTTTGGGACATTCGCCATCACTGATTTTCTGAAGAGCTGAAATAAAATTATATTTAATTAGTAAAGATCCATACTTTTTGTTGCACTCATTAAATAATTCAACTCACATTTGTTATTTACACAGTTGTAACTTTGCAAAACGCATTCATTGTTGAAAGTTTTCACTTCACCATTGACTCCGGCACAGACTGGTCTGTATTCCTTGGTACATTTCAAGTTGCAGTTCTTTTCATTTCTGGTAATTTGAGGGCATTCACCTTCACTGATTTTCTTCAGTGCTAAAGTCAAGCAACTATTATTTAGTACAATAATAAAATGAGCAAAAGTATTAAGTGACCTATACTTACATTTCCTTTGCTGGCAGTTGTAGTTTCTTAAAGCGCATTCGTTGGCAAAAGTTCTAATTTCTCCATTGGCTACTGCGCAAACTGGTCTGTATTCGAGTGTGCAGAATGATTGACAATTTTCTTCACTTCTTACAATTTCGGGACATTTGCCATCGCTGATCTTTTGAAGAGCTTAAACAAAAAATATTTAGTTAGCATAAAGTTTTTAATCTGCGTAATTTTTATCAAATACATTAAATTTTATAAACTCACATTTATTATTTAAACAGTTGTAACTCTGCAAAACGCATTCATTGCTGAAAGTTTTCAATTCTCCGTTGACTCCAGCACAGACTGGTCTGTATTCCTTGGTACATTGCAAGTTGCAGTTCTTTTCGCTTCTGGTAATTTGAGGGCATTCACCGTCGCTAATTTTCTTAAGGGCTAGTTTAACAAATACCTCTTAGTACATGCATAAATATTAAGAAAATTGCACTATATATGTATACTTACATTTCCTTTGTTGGCAATTGTAATTCCTTAAAGCGCATTCGTTGGCAAAAGTTCTTATTTCACCATTAAATGCAGCCGCGCAAACTGGTCTGTATTCGAGTGTGCAGAATGATTGACAATTTTCTTTAGTTCTTAGAATTTTAGGGCAAACGCCTTCACTGACTTTCTGAAGGGCTAGAAGTACCATGCGGGTTATATAATTTTTAGAAGTATATAATAGACTAATTATTTTTGTGTATACTTACACAAGTGATGTTCACAGTTATAGTTTTGTAAGATGCATTCGTTATCAAAGGTCCTGAATTCTCCGTTCATTCCTGCACAGACTGGACTGTAGATCTTAGGGCAGTATCCTTTGCATGCATTGTCGCTTCTCGTGATTTGTGGACACTCTCCATCGCTAATCTTCTTGAGTGCTAAAAAATATTAGTAGTACATACATGAAATATCTTTGCCAAATAGGGCAATAGTTAGAGATTAAAATGTACTTACATTTGCGCTGTTCACAGTTGTAATTACGAAGGATACATTCATTAGCGAATGTTTTGATTTCTCCATTGGCTGCTGCACATACAGGTCTGTAGTCAAAAGTACAGAATGAGGTACACTTTTCAGTCTCCCTTGTCATTTGTGGACATTCACCGTCACTAATTTTTTTGAGTGCTGCGGAAAAGACTAATTAGATTCAGTGTTCTTCACAATTTTTATTTATTTACTCACATTTCTTTTGGCGGCAGTTGTAGCTACGCAAAACGCATTCATTGGGAAATGTTAGGAGACCTTCTCCGGGCGCAGTTGCGCATACTGGTGTATAATCAGCAGTACAGATTTTTGGACATAACGAATCCTCTGCGAGAATTGCAGACAGTCCTAAGACCACTACACAAAAATATCCGATTATTAAAAATATTACGTAAAATATGTTATATGTTACTTACAGATAACCGCAGTGTGCATGAGCGCCATAGTAATTATTTATATTTTAGCACCAAGTGGATGCAAATACAATCACTTCTAGAATAACACTGATTTTTTCTTTGGATGTCTCATATATTTATACAAATTTCTTGTTGATATAATTTTTATTGACTGACAAAATTTGAAAACAAGATATTTTGATAAAAATTATCATTGTGGAATCTAAAACTCAAATCGCATCTTGATCAGCGCCAAAACAAGGAAAGATTGTATCAGGCTAATTGACTGTTAAGATTTTAAGGCCCGGCATATGGAATATGAAAAAATTAACAAATGGTCATAGTTCCAACGGAAAATTTTAGAAGAACAGGCTTGATATATGATTACAAGAAAATGTTATAGACTTTACTGCGTTTTCAAATTAGAAAAATCATCCATCGAATGTAAATAAACTAATAAATGAATGATACGTGAAATTCGGCTTTACTCAGAATTGTTTAATTTCAACAATAAATAAATCATATTTATTTCATTGAAAGCTTACTCTCAAATATGTAGTGAATTGGATATCCTAATAGTGATATCCAATTTGTCATTTACTAATTCTACTTATATTACATGACTATAGATCTTTTTTCACTTCTATCTTTTTTATTGTTTCTAATATATTAAATATTTGAATTTATTGTAATTATTGCAAATACTAAATTTACCCTAAA